GACTTGGTTAGATTTTAGTTCTTTTATTTCTCCAGAAAGGGTTTCTCTAGTATCTTCCATGCTTTTTTCAAGCCCAGCTAGTATCTTTATAATCGTCATTCTGAACTCTAGTTCTGACATCTTACGAATGTCCGTATTGATTAGGTCCCTGGCAGTCAGTACTGCCTCTTGTTCTTTTTTTTTGAGGTGAGTTTTTCTGTCTTGTCATTTTGTCCAGAGGAGAATAGATGAATGAAAGAACAAAATGCCAACAGATTTGTATTCTTTTCTTATTTTTTTTTTCTTATTTGGTTGAAACACACATTAGGCTTCTGATAACAGTAGCTTCAGCCTTGAATTAACAACTAGGAATCAAAAGTATATTTTTTAACCTGTCTTACTAATTTATGCAGCTTAAAGAGCTTCAAAATAAAACCTGAACAGAGAATAAAAATTGGTAATTTTAGCATATAACAGATATGAAATGAATTCGTAGTCCAGAGTCAGGCAAAAAATAGCTAGGATTGCAATCAAATGCAGACATGAATATTTGTTAAGCACTTTCGGTTTGTGGCACAAACTTACTATATTGGATTGAAAGGTATTTGAAAATAGTCTTGCTTTTTTGTCTGTGTAGCAATCCTCCTTCCCCTCTACCACCGGATATGACTCTTGGAGAATCTGCTTCCACTAATTCAATGGATAAATATCATACATATCACATTTCTGAACCAACTAGACAAGAAAGCTTGACATCTTTGAAAAATGACTTGGAAAACCACCTTGAAGACTTTGAGCTGGTGAGTTGTTTCCTCTGTATTAAGAAAATTCCGTATTTTCTCAAGTAAGATGTAGTCACACACAATTTCCCTTTAGGGAAAAGGCAGTCTTTTAAAGTAGCTTCATATCCATGGCTAGTAGATAACATGTCTGGTGTGTTTCTGTGCTGTGAATCCAAGGGAAAGGCAAAAAGACCCGGGTATAAATCCTGACCCTACCACTTACTTGCGGTAATTGGGCAGATGCCTGTAGAATTACTTAATTCTTCTGAGCCTTAGTAGTTCTGGCTATAAAATGGGGCTAGTAACCTCATAGTATTGTGGTAAGGATTAAATGAAATATACGTAGAGCACCTAAGACAGTATCTGCTATTTCCCAAATTCTGATGAGTTACCTATTTAATTTTTAATCAAGTTTGCATGTAATTTTTTTCTCCTCCACACTTTTTTGTGTGTGCCCAAATGGAATCCTTTACATTGTACTAATAGCCCTAGGACTTCTAAACCTTTACATTCAGTATGGAAGCCGAATGTTCAAGAATAATATCCTTTACCTTGATTGAAATCAGCCTTTTTCAATATTGTTTTTATTATCCAAGTAATAAATATTTATTGTAGGAAAATTAAAAAACAAAGAAAAAAGATTAAAGCCATTGATAATCTCACCACATAAAAATCGTAAAAATCATTTTGGAATTAATCTCTCCAGATACCTGGTTTGCCTAGAAGCGTGTGTGTGTGTGTGTAACATCTACATCTTCAGTTTCGTTCTCAGCAGTAGAAAATAATCTTTTCTCAGAAAGAAGAAAATCTTTGAATGATTTGCTTTAGAAGTGTGTCATCACCCTATAAGCTATAAGCAACCTTCATATCTCATTCAAAATCTTTTTTAAAAAAATTTTTTTATATAATTAAATGATGTTGTAATATTTAGTCACCAAAGGCTTCGTGTTTGTACAAGAAAACCTTTTCTTTTATGGCTCTTGACATCTATCTTGACTGTTTAGAAATATATGAAGAATTTTTCTGAAACTTCCGCTGAAAATATATTCCTTAATCATCAACGTATAACCACCAATGTGTCCTTGTTTATCCTGAAAATACAAAAGCTGAAGCATGAGTAAGTTTTGTCTCAGCTGTCTAGACAAACACATAGTGTTGTATCTAAACCCAACTTTTACATGGGAGTACATTCTATCTAGAATTGGATAGACCTAGCTTCTTCACTTGGTTAAGATCAGTAACCTTTTAAGGTTTGATTTCCTCCTCTTTTATTCAGTAAAAATAACAGTCCTCTCTGTTCATTGATGGGCAAAAATAGACAACCTAAAGAGTCACTGTTTTCTTCCCTTAGGAAGTAGAACTCCTCATTACCCTAATTAAATCAGAAAAAGGAAGCCTGGGTTTTACAGTAACCAAAGGCAGTCAGAGTATTGGTTGTTATGTTCATGATGTCATTCAGGATCCAGCCAAAAGTGATGGAAGGCTAAGACCTGGGGACCGGCTCATAAAGGTAAGACATTACCAAAATGGATTTGTGCAAATGTAGCCAAAAACTAAGCCAGAGCTGGAGGAGAACAAGAAGGTTGAGTTAATATAACACTCCATTTATTTGTTTGGTTTATATTTTCTATCCCGACCTCTTAAAGATAAGGCCTTTATATAGTTAACAGTTTAGGGAATGCTTACGGTTCCCTTTTTAATTAGGAAGTGCCTCTAATCTCACTTAAAGCATAAGCTTTAAGCTATCCTGGGTATCAAGGACAGAAAGTTTCTTAAATTTGTATGAGGATAAATTTCCAATATTAACAAAATAATGATGCATTTATATTTTACATTATTATTTCGTATGTAATTACTTAATCATTGTACTTATGATTTCCACAGTAAAGGGAATTAGCAAAAAATTAGAGACCACTCTCTTACTGGCTAATATACAGCTAGGGAGATTACTGTATTTTCATGGCAACTTCTAATCCTGTTTTGCCTCTTTCTCATTTTTGTAGGTTAATGATACAGATGTTACAAACATGACTCACACAGATGCAGTGAATCTGCTCCGAGCTGCACCCAAGACAGTCAGATTAGTTCTAGGACGAATTCTAGAATTACCCAGGATGCCAGTGCTGCCTCATTTGCTACCTGACATTACATTAACATGCCACAAGGAGGAGTTGGGTAATGCACATTCAAGCTTTGTGCAGTGTGATTTTCTTGGCTAGGTTAAAAGTAAGTACTCTTAAGACTAAGAAAACCAATATTTTCTATTCCCTGAAGGTTTTTCCTTATCTGGAGGTCATGACAGCCTTCATCAAGTGGTATATATTAGTGATATCAATCCAAGGTCAGATGCAGCCATTGAGGGTAATCTCCAGCTATTAGACATCATCCACTATGTGAACGGAGTCAGCACTCAAGGAATGACCTTGGAAGAAGCTAAGAGAGCATTAGACATGTCACTTCCTTCGGTGGTGCTGAAAGCAACAAGGTACTCTGCAATTACTTATGGGTTTTGTGTGTTTGCACAAGTTTCAGGCTGTTGATTACACTTATGCTATCTTAAAAAGATATTCCTAAATTAGTAACTCATAGACTAAACTGGCAAGAATTAATAAAGTTAGAACAGACTTTTTTTTTTTTTTACATTTTTTATTTAAGTACTCTCTACACCCAACATGGGGCTCGAACTCACAACCCCAAGATCAAGAGTCACATGCTCTTCCAACTGAACCAGCCAGGCACCCCCAGAATAGAATTATTGATAGGAGATTCCAAGAGCACGTTAAGTGGATTAGTGTTTGGATACATGTTTGCAGCTGTCAATAAGGTAGTTACGACGTTTGTCAGCATGTTTTCAGTTGTAAGTAACAGAAAAATACAACTCAACTTGGTTTAAACAATAAAGGGTTTATATGATTTTAAAAGTCCAAAGATGACGTGGTCATCAGGTAAAATGGTGATGCACTATCCAGAACAGTCTTCTGACAATCCTCCCAATGACCATGGTAAACCAAGGACTGTCTGCTGATTGCCTTAGACCTAAATTAAGGCCAGTCCCTGAGTTGAGGCAAAGGGATAAGAATATACTGATTGGCCTAGGCCAGTCCTGGCCCATTCCCAGAGCTGGGGCAAAGTCAGTCCTACCCAAACCTCATGTCTACGACCAATGAGGCATAGAATTACCACTTTCAGTACACCATATAACAATTTCACATTATAAGAAGTGCTAATGGGCATTTTTCTTTCACTTAATAATATAAATAAATTGGAAAAAAATGTATGTATTAGTTTCACATTACTACAAATATAGTGGCTTAAATGATACAAGTTTATTACCCTAATAGTTCTGGAAGTCAGAAATACAAAATGGGTTTCACTGGGCTAAAATCAAGATGCTATCAGGGCTGCATTCCTTCTGTAGGCTCCAGAAGAAAATCCATTTCCTTGCCTTTTCTACCTTCTAGAGATTCCCCATATTCCTTGGCTCATGGCCCCCTTCCATCTTCAAAGCCAGCAGTGACAACACTCTACTTCTGTTGTCACATCTCTTTCTCTGGACTCTGCCTTTCCTGCCTTCTTTCACTTATAAGGACCCTGTGATTACATTGGGCCTACCTAGATAGTACAAAATAACCTCCCCATCTTTAGATCCTCAGCTTACATCTGCAAAATCCCTTTTACCATGTAAGGTAACATATTCACAGGTTTAGAGGATTAGAATGTAGACACCTTTGTGGGGCCATTATTCTGCCTACTACAGTGTACATACAGCCAGGCTTTCTAGGTTACAGGTTTATGTTACATTTTTATCTGTGATACATGATGAGTTTTACATAGTATGTCTTTGAAAATATAGGAACTATAATTAAATCATTTGATCATAAACATTTGTTCCTTCTAAACCTTTAAATTAGATTACGTGCTTTTTTCCTTTGAATGTAATCCCTGCTCTGTTTCCCTCTTATATTTCTAAAAATTTGATTGGCATACATTTATTTTCATAGATGTAGCTGAATGTTAATTAGTGGAGGAGGAAAATGTTCAAACAGCCTGGACAATATTTTTGTGAAAATTAATATCTCTGCTAACCATAGATCTAACTGAATTTTTTTGCCTCAAAATCCATAGAGTACCCTTTCCCCGAGCCCTGAAATCACTTTCTTTTGCCTTTCTGCTTTTATCTTCAGTGTAGTCACTACAGATATAGTGGTGCTAGTCACAATTACTTTCCCCTTCATTCTTCCTCAAGCTTCCTCCACTACTGTATATATTTGTCCTCTTTAAAGTCCAAAGGGTAGCCATACAGAGGGGTAGAGATCTGTGGTAATTATCTGTATGTCAAGAACTGTACAGAGTCTGTGGTCTTACTGGACTTGCAAGCTAATAAACCAGCCAATTACTGTTTCTTGGGTGCTGGAAGAAGGTATGAAACTCTTGGATCAGAGACAAAATATTTTTTGAGTAACCGCAAGCAGCATGGGCATGGTATTGGTGTCAATTCCACACATCTTCTAAGTCTCCTGAAGATGACGTATGTGGGCCTAGTGGATTCCTGAACATGCAGTGGGTTGTATTACAGGAGGGGAAAACCATGAGGAGAAGAGGAACCCTCCCCTTTATGGCATCCTGTAAGAAAACCTGCTTTTTATTTGGAGAGAGAGGTTACCTCATTCCTCAAGCTTTCTCACCACAAACATAGCCTTGAGAATTGGCCCAGATAAAAAGCAGTCAGTGCCTTGCACTTCTGGGGTACCCAGGAAGAATATACAGGGCCCATGGCAAATTGCTTCTCCCAGCACTGTATACTTTAGGCAGACTCCCTTTTCTCTCAAGTACTAGCAATGATAAGATTGCATACTAATCCTCTGCTTCCAAGGTGCTGTCTTTTTGACAGTTTTTCACATTGGGTGATACTATCCTTCTTATAATCCTTTAAACAAATATATTTTGTCTAGGTTTTCACTTTAAGTAATTTTTTAAAAAATATGTATCAAGGGCTTCAAATATACAAAATGTAGTGATCTATAATTCCTAAGTTATCTTTGAATTATCACCTGAGTGTGACAGTGAACTAAGTAATTAGATCATGAATATTACAAGTGTTTTAAATGAGAGGGGAAATGTGGTAGTGTGTTAAACTGAAACCCAGAGAAAAATCATGTAAAGAAGTGATTCTTAATCTTTTTTCAGTCAAGAATATCTCCCTCCAGGGCGCCTGGGTGGCTCAGTTGGTTAAGCGACTGCCTTCGGCTCAGGTCATGATCCTGGAGTCCCTGGATCGAGTCCCGCATCGGGCTCC